ACAGCCCTCTGTATGGAGCAGAGAGCTGCCATCTAGGGTACCCATGGGAGCAGATGGTGGGGGTTAAGGGCCTTGCTCAAGGGCCCAGAGTGGGGTAAATGAAAGTGGAGGTAGGTGTGGGTGCTTCACCTATCCCACCTACCTTTTGATGTCGGTACGGGGAGATGAACCGGTGACTTTACGATCACAGGTCCACCTTTTCTAACCTCTGCACCACCACTCCCCTAAAAATAGCAATAATATAAACTATAAAAAAGAAACAGTGTACAAGGATTTAAGATATATGCTAAACAATAATAATATGGTGTATTAAAGAGCAGCGTGAGTATATAGTTTGACATCTGGCAATATGACATGTTACTTTCTAGTTTGACCACAATGGCTACAACTCTGTCATTTCTCAGCATAAGAGAAGCATCAAACAAAGTCTGTCTGACTACAAATTAAATGTGTGGAGTTTAGCATCTATAGATGTCAAAATGTGGGCAGATGTGAAGATGCCTTTAAAAGCCCACTTTAGTTTGGTACCACAGATTCTGGGGATGAATGAGAGTCTTCTGTCTGTTCAACCTTAATAAACACCAGAGAACCTGGCATGTCCTTTGTGCAAACATGGCTACCAGAATTAATCAGAGGTCAACGTTTGGGGAACTTCCTCAATTCTTTCCCCTCCTGTTCAAAAGCTGGGCGAATAAATGAAGTTTGGACAAAGTAATAAAATGCATCTGTCGATGTTCACGAGGTGAGATCAGTCGCTGCTTAGCAACAGAATCCAGCAGCTGCACTACAAAAAATGTCTTTTACTTGGTACAGGGGATAAAAAGTTATTTAGGATAACGTAACCATCAAATGGAAATGATCTAAATCATAAAAATAAAAAGGTTCTTTATGGAAGCCACGGGAGGGCATAATTAGATATTTTAATTTATAGTATCTAACAAAAACTAGTTGCATCTTTCCAACAAGGTTCAGTCAGTTCATCTGGTTTCTTTATTTTTTTGTAGAGCCATTTCGTCCTTCATCCAAAGGACTTCATCAGTCCGAGGAGCCACAAATAAATTCAGTCCCACAAGCAGCACACTCAGTTTGCTGGTGATAAGATGGTTTCTGGAGCCCGCTGTCTTCCCTGTCGACTCTTCTGAGGCAGCCATAGCCAAAGTTGTTCAAAACATCAACGTAGATTATATCTTTATTTTAAAACAAAACATTTCAATTTAGTTAAAAAATACTAATTTTTGTTATAATCAGAAATTAATTCAAAAATGATTATTTTAAAGGGGGTGTTTCTTTAAAAGAAGTCAAGACAGTTGTGCTGGCAGTCGATTCAAGCTGAAAACGTCCCGACAAAGAACGCGGATCAACATTTTATAGATCATCTTGGGACAGTGGTACGAAACGATGAATCTGTTTGTCAAATAAGAACGGCGGAAGTCAAGATTGGCAAAATCTTTTACTATCATTAGTTTTCATAATCTGCAAATTTGTCGCTTTTCGGCGAAATTCACAGATTTCAAACAAAATATGTCATTTTCGTGAATCATCTAGATTCAAAGAGGTGTTTTATTTTTTATTTTGAGGGGTGTCAGAGGTGTGATGGCATACTGTAATTTCCCAGTGAATGGACTTGAAGAAACAACAAGGTTTCTGTCTTCACAATAGAACATCGTTGGTGGAAGGCGAGTTATTTGGCCAATCACAATCAAGATAGACGATAGGGAAATCTTTTCCATGGACGAAGGAAGCTGGTCTACGTTAATCAGTTCTAATGTTGGACACTGCTAGTTTTGAGGTAAGTCTCGTTATCTGCCAACGAAATAATTTGCTGTGTAAGTTAAACTTGATTTGGAAAAAAAAAAAAATCCTACTTTAGCAACGTTATATGTGTCGTAATCCGTTACCTTTTCCAACATAACATTACCTGTAATGGAAAGCTCGTCAGCATGTAATGCTAGCTAGTAAGATGCCAGCTAACGCCACTGAATTGTACGTTAAAGTTAGCCTACAATGTCATTCGGTTCAATAGGAGTAATTTTGGGAAGGCTATCTCTAATGTGTCTGTACTGCTGTCCGATAATAATGATGATAAGATGAGAGAAATGAAAACTAACACGTACTGTTTGTACCGATGAAACACGACACACCAGTGTTTTGTTTAAGTGATCGAAATATCTGCTCTGGGATCATAGAGTAATAAATAGGACAGAAGTGGTGGGGCGTGTGTGGCACTAAATTGTTTTTATTCTTTTTATGCTATTAGTGCTTAACATATTTTTAGTTGATGTTTTTCGTAGTTCATACTTTTGATCTTGTACTGTTTTTCTTTTACATTTTATTGTTGGATGTAACTGGGACCCTGTATATCCTCAAACTCACTAGATGAGACTATTTTAATGATCAATTTACCAGTTGTTAAACTGGGTGTGTTAGAAAGAAAAACAAATCACTGTAATGCCACTTCAATTGGTGATATGTGACTTATCTGCTGCTGATTATCTCATGCTGCTGATTATCTCATGCTGCTGACTATCTCATGCTGC